CTTTCGATCTTTTTATAGTCAGTTCTGTCGGGGAGCCCAGCTCTCCCTACAGAGAGTCATCGAAGACGAACGTTCTACACTTTATATCAAGAGAACTTTTTCACCTAACACAGAGCGTTGCGCACTCGATTGCTCTTTGGCTGGTATTTTTATCATAATTATACTTTTATTTCAGGTGCTTTGTTAAGACCACGCTCAAAATTTCATTAGATCCTTTCATTATTATTGAGCCAACTTGTCATGTAATAATAATGAAAGGAATGCAACACTTAACCTTTTTTTTCAATGAACTTCTCAGGAAACTATTCAAGAAAATCCTTTGTCCATGGAACAGACTTCAGGAAAAACTCTAGCTCACACAATAGGAAATTCAGTGATGCCTAGTAAAATGATTCATGAGAATAAGATAGTGAAAGACAACATTCTTATGCGTGTTGCGATCACTACAAACTACTCCGAGCCCCTGAAACCGCAAGACAGACGATAACAGTTAAAGCTCCCGGTGTTGATCAATCCCTGAGGAATGCGCCATGTATTCATTTTCACCTAACATTCCTAAGTAGTTGGATGCATCTACGACCTCTGCAATAACTCGCGGTGGCCTGGCCTACCGATGTATCAACTCAATACTGGTGTCCTCTTAGACAAGTCTGGTATTAGTTCACCGACTCCAAAAGGATGGGAAGGCTTGACAGTCTTAAGTGTGGGATTGAACATAAGTGCAAGACCACGAGTGCGTTGCAGCGTATCTCTAACCACTCCATCGACGTGCTCGTTGGACATTTATGCTTATTACTCAGATCGTCTTTAATAATCTTCAACAGTTGTTTCGAATCACATTTATTCGCCCAATCAGCAACATAATCAAGACTAATGAAGACAATATTCGTAAAAACATTAAAAGCATGAGAAGATATAACACTGAAAGCCTTAGAAAAAAACAATTCTACAACAAAGCAACTTGAGAGCAAGTCACTAAATAAGTACTATAATGTAAATCAAAGTGTTCGTTATCTATAGGGTCAGCCACATCAGTGATCAGCTATTTTTCCAAGAGTATAATTTGTAGCAACGGTTTCAATCATCAACAAGTATGGCAATTCAGATGACCTAATCTTACAATTGCTCAAAAAGTTTAATGAGACATCTCTCCGCTCGCCGGCTACACATGACCAGAGACGCTTGTTACAGCATTCGCAAGCGATAATCGCTCAATCAAATCAAAAAGGTGAGGATAGAAACACTCTGTACATGTGTAGAAAGCTCTTAGCTAAGTTCCCCCAGGGGCTCGAGCAAAAGTATTGACTAAAACCAAAGCTGCGGAGGCCTCTTTGAATATGCAGTCTCTTGAGAGCGCTAGAACGAAACCATTTCGAATGAGGAATATATATCAGGATATGTGACGATTAATCAACCTTATCGTTAATTCTCGGGGTACAACGTGACTCAACCTCGTCCTCGTATTCGGGTGACCTTGACTCAAACCACAAGGCAAAACCAAAACATCTTCATGCATGTATTGCAAAGAGGCTCATAAATTCTTCCTTTGCGATCAGTTCAAATCAGCTCAGGATCGCAACGATGTGGTTATTTTCTGGAAGTACCGTGTGGCAGAGAAAATCGACCAAGTTTCACATGCTCGACGAGCTTGTTTACCTACTAATTCGCGGAGCGGTGGGAGATCGATCGCGTTTGAGATATCATTAACAATTAGGAATTTTTTTTTCCATCACATCGACAGAAACTTAAGATAAAAATGTATGGTTCTGATGCTACGGAAAATTCTCTACAAGCTGATGTGTCCTTCATCCACCCAGCGAATTATAGGTGTGATAAAAATGAAGGCAAAAGGTGAGTGTGAGATATAATTTTATTCTGGACCTTACAGCGTTATAAAAGGATGTTTTGAAAAACTGGAGATGTGCTATTAATAACATATCAACATACTTAACATATTACATTGAACATATCACATTACATTTAATACTACTTTTAATATATAACATTACGTATTTAACATTTATTTAACAAAGTTATTAATTTTTTTTATTTTATTTTACATATTTTATTTACATTTTTAACATATTATAAATTACATGACACAATATTAAACTATAGAAATAATAAAATATAATAATATATATATAATATGTCAATCGGTTACCGACGGAATAAATGACATGTCAACAAGGAACTCAGATATTACAGATTAGCAATTGCCCTTTACTTTGAGAAAACGATTCGCAAGAAATGTATTTATCTATAAGTCATTAGATGCCACATTAATAACTAAATTGCCTGATTGCTACAAGAAACCGTCTTTTTGACAAAATATGAAGATGCAAATATCGGATAAAAATACACAGTTTTATACGTCAAAGAAGTACGGCTATTGTAGGATTGGCAATACTAGAAAACGACAAAAAAAAATTTATGTGATTAACGAATAATTTCAGTTAGGAACCATACAATAATCAGCAAACGTAGTATATGAAATGTACCTTGAAGGGCCACAACATCGCTGAAACCAAATATCAACAACTACCCTGAAAGATCTCCCTAAAATTCTTGTGCGCGTCCCGCATCAGAATGGTTCGCTCCAATATACTGAGTGAATAATGTGAACAATGGAAGAACGTGGAAAACTCCTCATAAATCACGAATATCACACAAATAATTGGGCGGAGGTAAAAATCCTGAACAGAATTATCAAGTAGAAATCAAAACTGCATAGGTGACAATAATCAGGCGATTATATAGAAAAAACCTTATCAGAGATTTTACTTATGTCAAAGTTCCCAGCGTGATGTAGAAAAAATGGCGACAAGGAAGCAAAAAAGCAGCACAGGGCTTTCTAGCCTAACTGAGATTGAAAAATAAGGGCTCCCTTATGTTAGATAGCGACAAAGAAGTATCTGACTCCTTTAGCTTTACAAGAGATTTTCATAAGAATATTGGTAATCATCGAAAGCCTTAGATTTGTAGCTGGCGCGGTACATAGCCGTTTTTTGAAGAGATCCTTCAACAAAGCTTTAGCGAAAGAAGAACAGTCCATGTGTATATAATCGCCAAGAATCATTCTGACGTATATAATCACCCACTGGTTCCCACCTTGGGTTTAGGTCTTGTTCGGGGCAAGCGTAACTGCATCCCGAGGTCAGCCGCCCAGTCAAGCCCCACAGTCCTAGTTACACTTTCATTCGCTCATATATCATAGATTCTCTCAATCTTATCGGTTCACGCTACCCGTCGCACATTAGCAGTGTTACAGTATCATCGTCGTCACGCAGTTAGTCGCCGTCACTATAGTTATCTTATTATGGTATATTGATGCTATACGTATATTTCTGATGTATATATTTTAGGTTGATCCTTATATCACCATTACATCTCTACTCGAGACTTCAATCGTCACAAGCCGTCGGCGGTAACAAAATCAAAAAATAATCGAACACAGCTCAGCTTAGTGAATGGGCGAAGAAGAGGCAACGGCGAGCTGAGACCTTCATAATTCAACAATGACATGTTCATGACTATTTTTGACGGTTTCAACTGTTGAAACTGGACAACTTAAGTTTAGAGAGAGGACGGAAAGACCCGACTAAACGTATTATAAACGAAAATATTGGTTGAAAGCAGAGCTATGCAGGATAAGGTAATTGTGGAAACATTGGACTCTGACTTCTACTACGAGTTGCTAACTTATACTGTATATGAATGCTTTCTCGATCTTTTCGGTTATACGAGCACAAATGAATATCCGACCTCATTCGCCAGAAAGGAACTTTTCATAGGAGTGTTGGTAATGATTCGAAAGCTCAAATCTCTGACTAAAGCTGTAAGCAACGGAGTTTCTAAGGACCTTTTTATAACGCTATGCAGTTTAAAATGAAATTGTGTTTCACATGCGCATATTTCTCGCCGGACAAAGCTCTTGGTCATTTTTTGACTATTAGCAATCATTCTATAACTGAGTTCTTGTGATCTCTACCTATTACTATGCTCGAAAACCAATCGATCATCGCGTCAGCTCACCTTGCCATCTCACCCAGTAGCACGCGAGTTGGCAAAGACCACTTGTTGGCGCAAGCGAATTCAATCTTATTTTCCCTGCCTGCACTGCAGAAAAACGGTTTTTTTCAAAAATAAGCACAGCGCTATAATCAGCAAATTTAAGTTATCAATGTCTGGCATCATTCTAGAGAAAGAGCTTATTTTGAGCGAGAAAACGCGTGTGTGAAACACAAATGTTTTCGTTTCCTTGAAGGACTATAATAAATATTTTATCGAAAACCGGCCATGTACAGCGCTAGCCAGAGATTCAGGATTCGTATGATTACTGACAGTCTTATGAGAAGTTCCTGTTCAAGCGAATGAGGTCGGTTGTTCATTTGTCCCTTATAACACAAAAGATTCCGATTTCTATTGTTTGTATTGTACAATCAATGGAATTACTGCAAGTTCAAGACATAGGAGGCATCTCAAAGACTTGAGTACATATGGAAGCAAAAGGAATCTTCTGGAAAAAATCAATGATAGGTCACCACACTAAATTAAACAAATCAATCAATCCAGATTATTTATGATCATATTCGCCCATTCAATGAGTACTTGATCAACTAGACTGCAATGGTTTGGGTTGGCAGTCTGTAAGAAAGCAGTGTGGCCACCGCCATGAGTGACAACGCCCACCACTAGATCGCTCTCGATCATCTCAGATGTAGGTATTGCTGGAAGTTATTTCTGTGAGGAAATCATAAGCCAAATCCACGTTTGAATGATGAAAACATGATTTTCTACAAAATCTCCATGACAAAAGTAAAATACCAAAATACCAAGTATCCACCGAAAATGATTGTAAAAGGAGTAAAAACTTATTGGTAATGAAATTTTGAGCACTTATATGTTATTCGAAATTTCTAGTATTTTTACTGCATATTTCGTACAGTGTTATGATCATTCATATATTCCTAAGAGAATCGAGTGGTGAGCAAATTCACGGCCTCAGGCAGGAATAGAACCCGCTTTTCATCCTATCCAGAGACGCATGCTCTACCACTATACCACCGAGGCACATTTGCGCCACCACTCATTTTCACATCTCTATGTTAGCTACAGCCACCAACCTGTAACAGGTTTGGTCGGGTATGCGATTTCGCTTTATAAACCTTATATGTTATATGTTAGACGGAGACAAATTTATAAACCGATCTCACTCGCTGGACAAGAAGGAAGTATTCATTGAAGTGTTAGTAATCGTTCGAAAGTTTGGATCTCTAGCTAGAGCCCTAAGTAGTCGGTATTTCAAAACCCCTCCTACAGTGCTGTAAAATTCGAAATAAATTTATGTTTCATACCACATGTTTTTTATCTTACCACGCTTGTATTTTGCTGGGCAAAACTCCTTCCTCAGAGTGTTAGTACTCATTCGAAGCAAACATTTCGAGGAACTCAAAAAGATGTTCACTTTTTAGAAGAGCTCTTTTGATAGCGCTGTGTGAGAAAGGAAAAATTTATGCTTTACACTTCGCCGGACAAAGCTCTTTCTTTAGGCTATTAGTAATCACTCCATAGCGTGAGTTTCGAAAATTCCAACGATGATGTTATTTCTGAAAGTACCGTTTGGCAGGGAAGCGATCAAGTTTCACATGCTCAATAAGCTCGTTTACCTACTAATTCACGGAGCAGTGGGAGATCGATCGCGTGAGATATCATTACTCAATTGGAATTTTTTTTCCATCACATCAACAGAAAATTAGGTTAAAATTGTAGGGTTCTGATACTACGGAAAATTCTCTACACGCTGATATTCTTTTCATCCTTCTAGCAAATTATATGCGTGATGAAAATGAAGGCAAAAGGTGAGTGTGGAACATAATTTTATTCTGGGTCTTACAGCGTCGTAAAAAAGTGTTTTGAAGAACCGAAGAAGTGCAGCTGTATCCAGAGATTCAAGCTTTCGAATGATTACTAACACCTATGAACAGTCCCTGTCCAGCAGATGGGATCGTTCTATAAATTTGTCACCGTCAAACATATAAGTTCCAAATTTCTTCTATGAACCCTAATGATACAAGCCTGACGTTCAGAAAGATCACTACTGAATCAGACAATGTCAGTTACGCGAAAATTTCAATACTCTATAGAAAAGCCACATGTGACTCACACAGACCTTCACTCGGACTGAAGCGATCATCATCAGCACTGAGGCAGAGGGTTGGAATGGGGATTTGAGTCACCTGTAAGAGATAGGAACTATAACTCAAAAGAATACAGGATGAAATCCGAGAAAACATGCCGATACGTCAGAAAAAGGAAAGAAATCGTTCTGAAAGCTTCAGAGAATCTACGTGTAAAGGGCTAACTATGAGCATGACGAGTTAACGAGAGATCTAAGAAGGTCCACTTCGAACAATTCTACAGTATTTGGACCACCTTCCAGTCGCCTGTTTTTAAATCTCGCTGGAAACATTCAGATATAGTCTGTGAGAATGCTTCGAGCCTTTTCAAGGATGAATACGTCAGTGGCTCACGTACGTTTCGGCGGTATCACCCTCTTCATCAGTGCCACACCGCCCCACAAGGAACTCTATCTATAGTATGGATGGGAGATGTTATTTATGATGATAGCACGTGATCTTGCGTTATCATCACCATTTTTCGCGACGATGGATTACGGGTGGTAGTGAATATGTAGAAATCTGACTCATTGACTGTTTTCCAACATCGCCATAAACATCCTGTATGGTCTATGAGAATGTTTGAAGCCTTTTCGAGGCGATAACGCCGAAACGTAGGCATGGATGACGTGACAGCTCGAAAAGGCTCTATACATTCTCACAGACTATATCCGGACTTCTTTATCTTTCACCTTGGTCTGAAATACTCAAAAAATAAGTGAGAAAGAACGACTTTTGACCTTCTTGTTAATAGCTGCATGGTCGTAGTAGTCTTCAACAGACTCGTAGCCAGGAAAGTGGAGCAGTAAACCGTGCATCATATTCTCGGATAGTTGCCGAGTTCAGAACGTGATCAATGTCCATCGCGTCGTGATTCTCGAAGAGCTCCCTATGGCTGCAAAGTAAGAGAACCATGGCCGGATTTCTGAGTTTGAGTCGTATAAGTGTGAGGAGTACAGCCACGTGTTTTAGAAGGGGAAAAAGAAGGAAGAAGAGACTCAATGGATCCGTTATGTCTGCTCACCTTTCCGCAAAAGCCACTAACTTCTTCGTAATTTGACGGTTGTAGGTGTGCTTAGCAAAACATTTCTGAACAAAGAGCTTTTGTTCAGCTGCTCATTCTACGCCTTCCCTGGGAGAAAAATCTGAGCAATTCAACAGAATCTGATTTAAAAAGAAACAACAGCTGTAAAAACCCTCACTTCTAAAGAATTACTTGTCGAGGAGAGATCATATGGGGGAGAGACGACCAGCGCACCAGAGAGAATGGCAGATTCTGATGTACAACTAGCCAAGTAGTTAAAAAGTAACATTCTGAAGATGGCATTTCTCAGTGCGCTGGAAAGCAAGTCCGAGATCAACGATGGCAAACGAACCCTCCCGCACTGAATCCACATCCAATAATTTTAGCTTCCGGATATCTACGAGAGATACGTCGAATAACCTCGGCCAGATCGTCATCACGTGCTGAGTTGTATGTTCTGCAAAAGAAAGAATGAAGGATAAAGTTTATGACGCTGATCAATCTCTGCGAGATAGGCCAGGCATCGTCTTCAATTTTTAATCGTTTGAGGTGAATGAATACAGCTGATACTCCCAAAGACTCGTGGTGGCCTACCGATACATCAAGAGCTGCTTATCCTCCCAAGAAGGTCTGGTACCAATTTACCGTCCCCGAGGAGATAGAGTGCTTAATGAGCCATGAGCGCAAGATAGAACCATCGACCTTGTGCTCATACGCAGAGCACCATTAACCACTGCGCCACATGCGCTCTATGTTATGCAATACTAATTCATAAAGCATTCAAGAATACTTTTTACAAAGCCCAATGAAGAAAGGACCCCTAGATGGCCAATGAGCGCGTGTGCCGCAGTGGCCAGAGGTGTTTTGCGACACACATATGATCGAAATCGATGGCCGATGGTTTGATCTCGCGCGCGCACGATCCACTCCAGTAGGGCTCACGCCGGAAAGATGCGACTGTACATGTACGGATAAAGGTCAAACATGCATTCAATCACTTCAAAGGAAGCTGAACAAAGACGAATGCTAGGCGCATCCCTCAGGGATTGATCAATGCCGAGAGCTTTATATTTTTAGAACATTTATAAATGACCACAACATATGTAAATGGAGGAACGTGTTCTAAGTACAATGTGCTGGCGCGTAATTCAGGTCTCCTCGATTCAGGTGAATTGTCAATTCGCGCTCAGACAAGAACATATATATATATATATGTATATATATATAGCGCATGTGGCGTAGTGGTTAGAGGTGCTCTGCGTCGCACACGAGGTCAATGGTTCGATCTCGCGCTCATGGCTCACCAAGCCATCCATCCCTCCGGGGTCGGTAAATTGCTACCAAGCAGGTCTCAGACTTGTGTGGGAGGAAAGGCAGCACTGACTCGGTTCAGCGGGAGGTCACGCGAGTCACTGTAAAGGCCAGATATGCATTCAATCACCTCAAACGAAGTCAAAAATTGAAGTCGAATGCATGGCGCATCCCTCAGGGATTGATCAACGCCGAGAGCTTTATCCTTTTATTATATATATATATATAACCACTTCGGAAAAAAGCCCTTGAAAGGCGTTAGAATCCACGGTATCCTCCATTTAACAGAGAAATTGAGTGCTAGCAGAGCGACTGCAGTGGCAGCACAGTATGCGCATCCGATATGGATGAAACGCGGGTTCAATTCCCTCCTGAGGTCCAAAGTTTTACGTGTCACTCAGCATCCTTAAATGCATGATAAAAACGCCATAATATTTCTCCAGTAATGTTAAGTGATACCTTTACATTCGCTTGTTTTTACAGACCTCACTCAAAACAACTTGTAATCTGATAACATATCTTCAGCCTATCTCAGGGCCTGTTATGGCACTTATACAGACACGTGTTTCGATATTGTAGCCTCATCAGTAGCACGACATAATAAGCTCAAGGGCTCTTTTCTGTTAGATGGCGACAATTGAATATTCAATCCCGTTCGCTGGACAAGAATTTTTCATACCTGATTCATTTTTCGTCAGAATTTGATTAAGGTTTTTTCCATCATTTGGCAAAGATTCTCGGGATGGATGTTTTAGAAATCATTCAAAACCTTGAATCTCTGTCTATTGCCCTACGTGACGCAATTTTTCAAAACAGCCTTCCATAACGCTGTAAAATCCAAAATAAAATTATGTTTCACACCCGCCGCGTGCCTTCATTTTTATCATACGCATAATTCGCTGGAAGCACGAAAGCATATGATCGTATAAAGAAAATTTCGTAATATCTGAGTCAATCGTTTTATCTGGAGCTCTTTCAGAGCAGAAAAAAAGTTCCCAATTGGATAACAACTTGCATCCCACATGTCTAATCCGTCAGGTCATCATCGATCGCCCCATCCCAACGCGTAGATTACCCGGTGAACAACCTCGCCGAATAAGTGAAACTCGATCTTATTATCCCTGCTACACTGCCGAGAAACGGTTTCTACCGGAAATAAGCACAGCGATGAAATCATTGAAACTTACGCTACCGAATGATTATCAATAGTCTGAGGAAAGAGCTCTGTCCGGCGAGGTTTGAAGCACAAGTCTTCCCTTCTCCTACAGCGCTTCCAAAAGAACTTTTCCGAAAAAGCAAACACATTTTTGAGTTCCGAGACTTGTGCTATCGAAAGAGTACTAGCACTCTAAGGAAGGAGTTTTGTCCAGCGAAATATAAGCGAGATAAGAAGAAAGAAGACTCGCTGGTCCTGTAAAACATAATTTTATTTGGACTTTACAGCGCTATAACAGGATGTTTTGCAAAACCCGCCACGTGTTGCTGTATCCAGAGATTTATGCTTTCGAAGGATTGCTAACACTCCTATGAAAAATTCTTGTCCCACGTCAGATATTCGT